CAAATGTGCTTTACACAATTGATGTGTGTATGGATTGGGATAACAGTTGTATGAGCCCCTAATAAAATGTTAAAAAAAAAAAAAGAAAATTCATAAAAAAAGACCAAGTTTACTGGTTGGAGGGGGATTGGTGGGACTCCTAGACTTTGGTCTTTAGCTACATTTCAGGTCTGGAACGGAACTCACTCACCCCTGGGCTCAATTTTCAGGCAAACAGTACACAGAGAGATAAGAGGAATAATAACATTAGTGAGGTATGCGCACCTTAGAATAATCAATCATTATTGGTTACTACTGATATAAATATGGCAGCATTTATCCAAAGACATATTTCTAAAGGGTTAGGAAAGAGGGAGCAGTGAGACAGAAAGTCCAAGGAGAACGTGAGGTAAGTGATGTTTCATTGAGGGGCTTGCAATCAGATGAAATGAAATGTATATGAATTTGTGGATATAAAACTGCCGATTTGCTCTGAAAACCTTCACCCAATTCACTACATATAAATTTCATTACAATAAACAGAAAAGATTGAGATTGTCTTGCTTGGATCTACAATTGGTGTTCATGGAAACAGTAGTCAAGTGATCACATGACACATTGCATTGTGTAAGTATGCTGCACAAGACCTCTTTAAAGTGTTGAAAAACAAGGATGTTGCCTGCCACGCCAGTGGTGGGACAGGTCCCTGGTGCAGAGCCGGGGAGGGTGCCTCCGTTTCTTGCAGTTGCTACCTCCTCCCCGGGGTCTTGGGGCCCCTCCCGGGCCCAGCAAGGATGTTACTTTGAGGACTAAGGTTATGCCTGACCCAAGCCATGGTACTTTCAGTTGCCTCATATGCATGTGAAAATTGGACATTGAATAAGGAGAACCATCAAAGAATTGATGCATTTGAATTATGGTGCTGATGAAGAATATTGAAAAAAGTTACACTGTGCTTATTCAGAACCTGCACTGTGCTCATATGAAGCCTGTACATGGATCAAGAGGTAAGCCAATGGACTAGATCTGTGGAAAGAGACAATGTTGATGCTCAGTATCATCAGCCAAAATGAGGCCAAGGGCTGACTATGGAACAGACCATCAATTGCTCATGTGCAAGTTCAGGATAAGGTTGAAGAAAATGAAAACAAGTCCATGAGAGCTAAAATAACACCTTGGGTATATTCCACCTGGATTTCAAGAACAGATTTGACTCATTGAACACTAATGACTAAAAGTCTGCTGAGCTATAGGATCACATCAAGAATATACTACACGAAGAAAGCAAAAGGTCATTCTAAAGACAAGAAAGGAAGAAAAGATCGAAGTGGATGTCAAAAGAGACTTTGAAACTTGGTTTTGATTGCCAAATAGCTAACGTAAATGATGATTTCAAGGAGCTGAACAGAAAACTTCAAAGGACAGTCTGAAAAGACAAAGTATAAAGGATTGTGCAAAGATTCAGAGTTAGAAAGCCAACAAGGAAGGACACGGTCAGCACTTATCAAGCTAAAAGAACTGATGAAAAATCCAAGCCTCTGAAGATAAACATGCAGCCATCTAGCCGAGAAGCAACAAGGCCCACATGGAAGAAGCACAGCAGCCTGTGTGATCATGAGGTGTCAACAGGATCAGGTATCAGGCATCAAAGACCCAGAACAACAACAAAAAATCATATCATTGTGAATAAGGGAGAGTGCGGAGTAGAGACCTAAAGCCCATCTGTAGGCAACTGGACATCCCCTTACAGAGGGGCCGTGGGGAGGAGCCGAGCCAGTCAGGGTGCAGTATAGCACCGATGAGATATACAACCGAAACATTCAACTTTCCTGTAGTTCTTTAATGCTTCATTCTCCCCACTATCATAACCCCAATTCTACCTTACAAATCTGGCTAGACCAGAGCATGTGCACAGGTCCAGATAAGAGCTGGAAACACAGGGAATCCAGGACAGATAAAGCCCTCAGGACCAATATTGAGAGTAGCCATACCAGGAGGGGAAGGAGAAGGTGGCGGGGAGAAAGGGAGAAGCAATCACAATGATCTACCTATAACCCCCTCCCTGGGGATGGACAACAGAAAAGTGGGTGAAGGGAGACATCGGTCAGTGTGAGACATGAAAAAATAATAATTTATAAATGATCAAGGGTTCATGAGGGAGGGGAAAAAATGAGAAGCTGATACCAAGGGCTCAAGTAGAAAGAAAATGTTTTGAAAATGATAATGGCAATAAATTTACAAATGTGCTTGACACAATGTATGTATGTATGTATGGTGACATGAGTTGTATGAGCCTCCAATAAACTGATTTAAA